GGCTCCGTTCGGGCATCGCCCTCCAGGCCCACGGCGGGATTCTCCCGCCATGGGAAGGGGACTGCCTTTTCCCGCTGGCCCCGATCACCCTTTCCACGGGTGGCCAAGGAACAGCGCTACAATGAGGAAAGGTTATGTGCCGCGCTGACAGAGAAACTCCCCGTCCTTAGCCACGAGACACTTCGAGCAAAGGCTGTGGAAGAGAACAAGCGAGAGCTGCTTTATGCACACCCTTAACTTGGGCTTTGACTTCTGTCTCCTGTGAGCAAGGAGTTTTATTTTTTCCTAGGGGAAAAAGAAGTTGTTCATGTAAAGAATGAAGCAACTCTCTATTCTGTGTTTTCCTCTAGAAGATGCAGTCTTTTAACTTAGATTTACCAAACTCCATACGACTATGCCCATGTTTCAGTACCCAGAAAATAAGCAGCAGGAGGACACTTGTTGGAGTTCAGAGAGGACTCAATTCTGCCACTGAAGACAAAGCAACAGATTCTGCCTAAATAATTATTTTAGACTATTCCCTTGCAAACTTGGGAAACCCGCTTGCACTGATTTGCATTCAGAAACATTTATTTGCTGAGAACCAGTGAAGTCTTTCATCGTTGCACTTCAGTAAAGCAAAAGCAGGCTCCTTGCAGGTTTCCCAGTCAGGGGACATTCTGTGCGCAGCCTACTTAATGTCATGAACACTAGTGTTAGAACAGAGCTGGTTACGAACAGTAAGGAACCTACTGCTTCCTACTAATCAGCTCTATCTTAGAAGTCAGTCAAACTCTCCCCGTTACCTCCAAATCCCGCTTTACCCAAAACCTAATTTAAGCTTACAAAGGGTGTGTCACAGCCTGTCTTCCAAAAACAGAGTGTTTGCTCCCACAATAAGAAAGTGCCAGGATAAAAAAAACTTCCTGATGATACAGCCTTATGAGAAATAAACTGCAGGTATGCGGAGAAGAAACCAGCACTTTCCCATCTGAATCCTCCTGAAAATGTACAACAATAAAGAACATCTGGGCACTGGAGAAGTGTGCAAATACAGAATCTACTTGGGATTTAGGTGAGGGACAAAAATTTACTACTTAGAAACTAGAGTGCCTACACAAATTCTTTGACTACTATGGAATAATATGCATGTACTAAGAACTAGTAAAACAGATGGATAACCATGTATATGACTTTATAATGACTGTTCCACATTATCTGCCCTTGTAAAGCTGTTTATCTTCTAACTTCCAGAATAAAAAGTTAAAACTAAAATCCTATCTCTGATGTTAGATGAGGATTTCAACATGCTCCTTGGAACAAACTTTTAAATTCTTTTTCTCTTTAAAGCCTTGCAGTATCATACAAAGGACTAGCAGAGTCAGCTTCCTGCTTAGTGAGAACCCATAGGGCTTCTCCATATGTATCAGTGTTCACTTAGGATGCTATGTATTTTAGTTAATCAATTCAAAGCCCACAGGAAACCTCTCGAGGTTAAACTTCCTAAGCTGCTAAAGTGAAATTAATATGCCTCCCCAAAGGAGCTTAAGTAAAATAACTGCTAGCACATTGTTTCAGCAACCTTTACAGCAACCTCCACCTGAAAACTCAGATGACAAATTGAGGCAAAAGCCCCTTCTCACCCTAGAACATTAGGCTGGAAAAAAAAAGAAAGAGTTACACACCTTGTAATGAATTAAGAACAAAATGAGGAAATAGAGGGAGCTTTTCATCCTCCCTTGCTCAAAATTGGCTGTACAAGTCTTAACCCTCCTCCCTTCAGTTCACTGCAGCATGCGAACACAGTTGCATTTGTAGCATTATTTTCAAGGGTCTGTCTTATCCCTGTCCAAAGAAAAGGACTAGATTGCTCTTTCTGGAGCCATTGCTTTTTTGCTAGGTACTTTTGAAGGGTAAGAAGGAAAGGATTTGGCAAGTGTTTGAATACCCACGCCATCGCTCTTCACTTTTTCTTGGCCA